TGGACAGAGCCGGCGCTAACCCGATCATGCGCAATTGTGCATAGGTTAGGTTGTACGCAGCATTCCTGTCCCTGTCGCCTTCGGCTTTGCGTAGCACCACACTACATGCTCAACGCGAGCTTTACGGAGGCCTTGCGCTGCAGCCAGAGGGACGTAACCATGCTTGACGTGGATCCTTCGCCATGCCACAGGGGCGTCGCGTGTCTGAATGACCGACAACAACAACAACGGCATAAGGTCGGCCGGTGAGCACCTCGGGCGACGCGCGCGCCGTACGCACTCTATTTGACGGCGAGGTGAGGCAGGCTGAGAACAGGCTGCGCGGCATTTGTTACTTTCTGTTCGCGATGCAGCAGCAGGAAAACAAATGGCGGGCACTTTTAATCTAATAGTCGGCAACTCTATGACTGGAAAACAAGTATAGCCGATCGACTCACATTATGTGCCGTAAAGTTACTGCATTTACTGTGTGCAGTGTGCTGCATACCTCTATCGCAGGTGGAGAGATAAAAAACACTCACTGCACATTTTAAGGCGGCAGGTTGCAGCGGTGTCGTTATTTTACGCATTTCAATGCGTTTGGCAGTCACACATTTCATTTGGTGCGTTGCTGCCGCCCGCCTCGCCCAGGGGCCTAAGTGCAGCGGCAGTAAAGTACTCGCGGACAATGCTGATAAGGATCCGAGCACCGTACTGCCCCGCGCATATGGAGGCACCGGCACTCGGGACCTCTAGGCAGCAGCTACCAAGACGCGCACAACGGGAGAAAGTACAGGGAAGCAATAGGGCACCAGTTAAAACAGCGAAGACGTTCGTAAAAACTGTGATTTTACTCAGACTCAGGCCCCTTATTTTATTAAGCAAGTCTGCGAGGAAGATGTGTAGAAAACAAGAGTCCTTGGCGAGCGGCTTACAATATGTTTGGGTCATTTTTTGAACGGAATGCGGCTCCGTCAACAGCATCCGGCGCCACCCCCCTCCTCCCTTTCTCGTAACCAAATTGAATCGTTCGAGTGCAGCGCATGACGACACAGGCCTCGCGGATCGACGCACGTCCTGCGCTCCAGGTATCTCTCTCTCTCTCTCTCTCTCTCTCTCTCTCTCTCCCTCAGTATCCTGAGCGCCACAAGAAACACTCTGAGCGCGGCACGGACAATGTCTCCATCACGGGATGCGTCGCAGTTTTATGTATCCCCTCTCTCCCCTCCAAAAAAATAACACCGACCTTAGCGACAATGTACGGCATGGCTGCACATCTTTGCTTTCCAGGTAGCGACAAACTGCATAAAAAGAAAAGTCAAAGAGTAAAAAAATAAGTTCAGTTAAAGGTTTTGATAAAGGTTAGCTTTTGAAAATAAATTTTCGACAGGTTTCGACAAGAAACATACACACCAAGAGTAATGATTTTTCTTTTTTCTTGTCTTAGAATTTTTATGGTTTACGAAGCACGAAGCTTCGTTTCAAACGATTCCAGTGTGAGTCACTGTGACAAACACTTGTAAGGCTTCTAGGAAAATTTTCCATGACATATTGTAAACCTATAATTTTAAAGGTTAAAATTCCAAGTTACTACTTGTCGGTTTAGAATTCACTTACGGGCAAGAATGGACCGTCGTAAATTTAAAATATCATTTGAAAATGGTAAATACGAAATATGTAGTTAATTTACAGAGGCCTCTGTAATACCGGTATTCTTCACAGTGTGATTATTTTAGTGCAAGTCCTTGGAAAACATGTCAAAACGAGAAAACATCAAGATGAAATTTTTCTGGATGAATAACTCTCCGACGGCTTTCCCAGGGCAAAGAGCAGAAATCGTCGAGTTTGATCAGTCATTCTTCCCAAAACGATGTGAATAAGGGGAAGAGAGACAGCGAGGAGATAGGGGCGGGAGGTGGCGACAAAGCGAGATAGCATCGGAGGTGACTTGCCTCTGTGACACAATTTTGTGAAGTCGATTGTGCCGACGCATTTGTCCTTGCGTGTTCTGTTGTGGAGAGGCATGGGGCATGGGGCCGTGGCAAGAGGGCGCTCCCCGCTCCCCCTGCCGGAGTTTTGGTTTCTTTTGCATACGGGAGAGATCAAACCACGACACACCCAACAGCCGTGGGTGCTACTCAGCATCCCAAGGCTTTTAACAACACTATTCGAGTGTTTCGTGCCCTCATAGGTTTAGAAATCAATTTTAAACACTCATTATCCTAACACATTCAATCACACAGTGTCGGTGAGTTCCGTTGGCGCACGCCTGTCAGCCGTGCGGTATGAGTGCGCCTGTTCGTGAGGATGCGTGTGTGAGTGTGAGTGAGTGCGTGTGTGAGCGCGCGCATCTGTGGCCAGGGACCCGGGGCGGCCTAGGCGTGGGAACAAGGCTGGGAGCCACAATATTATCACCTTCAGAAGCATTCGTGGTTGACGGCAACAGGGGAAAACAGGGATGTGGGGACACGCCGGGAGAAAGGAGGAGAGGAGGAAGATAGAAATACGGAGGATAAAGCAGGCCACCTATAGAGGGTGGGTGGGGAATGTTTTCATGTGCCAAAATTGAATACTGTCCCCAGACTCTTCTTGTGATCTGCTCCTCCAATAGAAAGTTCTGCGAACCACCCCCGCCCCGCAAAGAGCGGCTCGGGGGCTGTCGCAACAGAGAGAGAGAGAGCGAAAGAGAGAGAGAGAGAGAGAGAGAGAGAGAGAGAGGGGGGGGGGGGGGGGGGTCCGCTCCACCCGCATATAAGACAGCAAACGCACAAACAAGAGAAAAATATCATATAACGTCACTCAAATTAAAATTTAATTGAAGGGAACTCTATAAATCTCGAAGACGGGCCGAGCTTCTACCAGTGGAGGTGTGTGGGAACGTTTACACAGCTACTCGCCATAAATAATTTGTGCGTTGTTACCCTGTTTGTTAACACTCCAGCACTAGGGGCAGCAATCCCTCACACTGAACGCCAGTTCCTGGCTGTGTGTGAGAGACTTTCGGTGCGACGAGCGGCCGCTTCGAGATTTTCATTCATCGCGTCTTCAGTGTGCTATGCGCTGCCGGTGAGAAATTTATGAAACTTTATGTCTTGAAAATATTTATGTTTTTAAGCAGTGAAGAGGGTGGTGTGGCAAATCGCACAATCCTTCAAATTGATATCGGTCCGAAAATCACGCCAACACCTGGTGCGCCGTGGCCGCGGCTCCCTCTCTGCGTCTCTCTCGCACGCTCTCGGCGAGCGGGGCGCTGCCTCGGGGGCGAGCGAGTCGGGCGCAGAGAAGTTTTGTCTCGACGCGACATCTGTCTGCGCCGCATTCTTTCTCGAATGCCATCGGCCGGCGGCTGCCGGTGCGGGTCACGTCCGAAGACGACCAAAAAGTCTTTCCTTCTCTCGTCGCTTTGAAATAAGAGCGGGTCTCTATCGCCACCGTCCGCCACCTCTCGCATCGATGCAGTGGAGGGGACGACCGACTGCCACCCTCCCTGTGATTTGTTGCCCTCGTAATTGTGTGGACAGCTGGACCGCGCCGCACCGCCCTCGCCACCTCAGCGGAAGATGGGACAAATCAAACTATTTTTCACTTTCTTTGAGACGCGCGCTCGGCCGCCGTCAGACGCCCACCTCATCAAAAAGCACTGTTTGACCCCTGCCCGGCCGAAAGGCTTTCCCCTGAATGTGCTCCGCACTTACACGCACCCGTCGCGGCAACAAGTTTCTGCGATTGCCAATCTGCCCGCGAGGAAGGTATCTGCCCAGCTGAAAAATAATTTTCATTTATTATAATGACTATAAGATAGTTTTACTATGCCGTATTTTATGTTTATCTTTCGGGTTTGCCAAGTGGAAAAAGGTCATATTTCATACTCTGAGGTGTTTGGCGTTCAGGCACGCCCTGCAGCCACATGCTACTGCAGCTGTTCAGCATTCTCTCTCGCTCACTCCGCTCAATCTCCCCGTGTCCCCTCCCCCTACTCTGTGGCCCTTTCTGTGTTAGCTATCCTCTCCATTCCTCATGGTTTCGCAAATAATATTGACTCGACACATGACGATTGAGGTTATAGACTGTTATAGTGGTCGCTCCTTTGGTCGACTTCAATAATAAACTAGAAGGGGCGATAGATTTCTAAAAACGCCGATCTGTGAAAAAGGAAGAGGATGAGAAATGCCAGGTACTGGTATGACTGCAACGCCCTTCCCGTCCGCTCCGGCGTCAGAAAATACGATGGGCGAAATGCCGCATGTCGCCGAGGTTCATTATGCTAAGCGGTACGCAGAGAGATGGTTCTTTTCTTCGGAAGGTATGAGCCTCTCTACCACCGCGCTGAATCCATCATCAACTCCTCATGCCACAAATTGACAATCACCCCTATTCTTTTAATTTCATCTCTGTCTCTCTGTCTGTCTCTCTCGCCCTCTTCCCGTGTTGCAGGGGGAAAGCGTCAGATTCTTGTCGTGCCTGGCCACTCTGCATCTGCAGGCGCCACACGTATCGGCAAACAAGTACCCCTGTTTATGGAATCGTTTTAGTGGGGCGCTGAATGCAGATCTCTGCCTTCCGATGCGCCTCTGCGTTCACAACCTATCCCTCCACTTTTTTGCTTTTTACTTTTTGGTCGCTGCTGCAGTGAGGGTTTCTCCCTTCGTTCACCCAAGAAAGAGCAAAAGCGAAAACCTGGTGGCAAACAAACTGTTTCTCCTCTACAAATGCCGTCCACAACGTAGCAGCGCAACAGGAATTCTGGTTCTCAATCAAGCTTTGTGACCGTAAAATTAACGAGCTTGACAGGCAGCTCGCACAGGAGGTGAGTTGAAAAGCAAACGGCTGGAGCCACCGCCTTAGGCAGTGAGGCAGTCGGCGCGAAAATTTGGCATGTGACGAGTACAGTCAGTGCTTCTGTTGTTCGACCGGGGCACACAAGTACCAATCAACTCGTTTTAACACCGAGTTTCAGAACGCTCCGTCAAAGGAAGACGACCGTGGTGAAGAAGCGAGCAAGCAACTGTCACCACTTGTTTTCTTTCATACAATTCTATATTACTTTGAACCGTGGTTACGGTACGTTTGCGAAATACGCCAAATTACACCCCCTCCCCTCCTTTCTTTGTAGAGACATCGGCAACGTCGGAGGCACAAGAAGAAGCCGTCGGCGAGGTAGGCCAAGGCACGCGCGCACATTTCGCATGGATACGCGTTCCCCCAAGGACCGTGTTTGACAGATAACACCATCTGATTCATCCTCACGCCTCACCTGTGCATGCGCGCGCCGTGCGTGTGTGGTCCAGGGAGAGGCAGACGGGGAGCGGCCACAGGATGTCTGCAACAACGGGACGCACCGCCGTCAAATAGGGAAAACATCGACAGAGTCTTCACTTACTGAAAAGTATAAAAAAAAATAGCATTAAGAGGCCAAGTTTTAAATGAGCTAAACACAATGATTACACAAAAATTCTGGGATACGCTTCTCATTTCAATTAAAAAACTACTATCTGGTCTGCAATGATGAAGAGATGGGGAAACCTGACCTGCCCAGACTGCCCTCTTCACCTCATCGATAATTCAAATGGCATGTCGTGCACTAATATATCATGTGTTCAACTGGAGATCACCCTGAATGTGCACTTGCACTAGTGTGGAGCTGGGAGGTTTTACCCACTTTACAGCTACAAAACCCGCACCTTGGCCCGTCCGTCCGACTTTCCCGCCCGACACCTGTAAGTGTCAAGCTGATTGCCAGTTTAATATTTTGGTTTGTCAGGGGTGCCTGAATGTAAGATTATTTACCCACCCCTTTGAGGTGCAACTAGCCACAACCAACGCGACTTTGCATTTTCGGACTCAGTCATGTTGCTATTTTCTGTGGTGTCAATTTTTCTCTCCCCAACGACGTGTTTCCGTCGTGGAGGAGCATTACGTCGGCCCCGTGCGGTCCGGCTGCACACGGAGACACAAATGAGATATGAGGTCCCGCTGTGTTTAGCCCGCTCCCTTATCCCCTTTTACCTCCGTCTTTTACCTCACACGTCGAGAAGACGAATCGTTACATTCAAGCGAAGCGATCCCCACACAAGGACCGTTCATATCACCCGCCGGACGACACGGGATTTTCATTATGGTCACTGGTGGTCACTTTGGGGCTCCTACAACTCCGGCCCACCCCACGACCCCTGCCGGAACGCATGTATTTCGCTAAGCCCGAGAGAACAGAACGACAACAAATTTTGCAACTTGTATGATTAATATTCTCAACCACCTAGCTTTTGGCGGGTGGCTTTCGTGTGATTTGCTGTCACCGCCCACGCACCTGCCGGTCAATTAGTGGTCACCTTTTTCCAGACGTAATAAAGTCGGATAAGCCCCTGCGCGAAGACGTCGACCCCAGACATTAAGGTATGTCACCGGATCCAGCCCACCCAGGACACAATAGCCGAGCCGAGCCACTTCTGTACCTTACAGCATCGCGCACTTTTCGATTTAGCCTCCTGCACAATACTCGAATATCGAGGTAACATAGATTCGCCGAATGCCAATAGCGGATTTGTGAACGGAGTGGCAAACCCAGTAAACCCCTAACTTGTATAATTAGACCAAGTTTAAGGCTCTAAACACATGAGAACTAAGAAATGAATCCACGATTACACTTTTCACAAACCTTCAATTGGCTACAAACTGTAGGCAGAAATGCGGACTTTAAAGAAAGGGCTCACCCGAACGTGCCCAAGACGCGTGAAGCCCCGAATCAGGGCCTTACTTCACA